GTTCAACCCTCCATGTTTTTTCAATTTATTCCCATTATTACGCGCGAACTAGGAGGTGCACAATCGACTTGGGATGTTGTGCAGCGCCTCAGTGATTGTCCATCGTTGAAGGAGATTCTTCCTGAGTCGATATACTTAGAGATTTTTAAGTTGGCGTTTAACGAGCATGAAGTTCATGGTGATGGAGAGGTATGTATGACGTGACATATATGTATTTATTATGATACTTTTGGTATATATATCTTATTATTGGTAATCCTGTCATAAAAGATGAAACCGTCTTCTAATCAACATGTAGATATACTTTTCATGAACATCAACATGTTTATATTTCTTGATAAACATTGTCATTATTCACCTATAATTCATAAGCTTAAGCATTTTGGAACATACAACATCACTTCTGATCAGTGCAAATGGAACATACGAACATCACAATTTTATAAATTCCTACTGATAATAAATCACAGTATTGTCCAGTTTCCAGTTATGTTATTGCAGGTGCTGTTCTATGGTAATTTTCCTGTGTCTCATAATAATTCACATTTGGTTGAGTGGCAAGATAGTTGTTGAAAGAAGAAGGGTGGGTTAAGGGACGTTTTTTCTCCCCTTCCTTTTTTCATTTGATTGATAAAAAATTTATTATATCTTTTCATTTCTTTTTATTTTTTATTTTATTGTTAGTAGTTTTGAGTGCTTCTGGGATTATCCTTCTGTATTTATTTGCTTTGCTACCTTAGCAACTTGTTTTTCCAATATTGGATATTTGCTTTGCTTCTGGGCTATTCTTCGTTATGTTCTCAAATCCTTCATTTCCTCGAATATTTTTCTGGCCTGTCGGTGCAATTGAAGTGTATTAGCATTCCCAGCATGTTCTTAGCTTTGAATCAGGTTCCTGCATGTCGCTGAGTGGTGGTGCCCAAAGCTTTTTTTTAATGGTTTCTCCATATAATGCTTTTAGCTTTCCTTTTTCATTTTTCTCTATGGGTGTGTTGGTCTTTAAAAGAGGTAGGATTCCCCGGTTTTTAAATGGGTTATAGGACTTTTTTAAACAAACTGTAACCTGTATGATTGTAATCTTGCCCAGAATCAGCGAGTATGCGCAGTTTGTAAAAATGAAAAAATGGCTTTTATAGGGAATAAACCGTTTGTAATCTAATCAATAGAGGTGTAATTATTCGTGATCGTTAAAATATGTTCTTTTCAGGTTGGAGGAGGTACTCCCGTAGAGAGCAGCAGTACGATACGACGTTCTAATGCAGACGATGTTGATAACAGGGATGCCGACAACGACGAGGAATGAGTGATACTTGTGTGTTAATACATATTATGACTTTTGGATTTTACATATATGTAATATATTTATGATTTTATTGCGTAGTGAATGAATATTATTTGAGCATGTGAGATATATTGTGATTGTGATAAATGATGAGTATTATTCGATATTGTGGATTGATGGATGAAATTGAATGGGTATTCATTTGGAATGTGAATGAATATCATGATTGATTTTATGATATGTTGGTAAATATTGTCATTGAATTGATGTTGATACAGGTTATATGTGTATTCTCTCGTATGGGAGGCTACCAGAATTTAAATTTTTTTTTGGCGTAAATATATACATTGGCGACGGATTTCCCGTCACCAATAAACATTGGCGACAGGAAAATTCGTCGCCAATGTTTTAAACATTAGCGACGGGGATATACCCGTCGCCAATGTTTAAAAACATTAGCGACAGGGAAATCCGTCGCTAATACACATTGGCGACGGATTAATCCGTCGCCAATGTTTCAAACATCAGCGACGGGTAGATACCCGTCGCCAATGGTTAAAACATTGGCGACGGATTTTCTCGTCGTCAATGTTTTTTGGCGACGGGGCAATCCGCTCTTTTCAAGCAGGGGGGACTGATGTAGAACACACAGCAGACATGTTTATGTCAAAGTGGGACAGTCGTAAGCCCAAATGCGGGCCTGGTCGAAGAAAATAACATGTTTCGAAGAAACGGCCGTAACTTTCAAACCGTACGTCGGAATTGGACGAATTATATATGAAAATCGTCTATCTCGATGAGACGGAGCCATCCAATTCGACCCCTTTGGGTTCAGTTTGCGTTCTCAGTTTTGCAAAATTCCTTACGGTTTGAGAGATATTTGCAGTTTTGTCCATTTTTTTACTATTTTTAGTAATATTTTAGGAGTCTGTTTTGTTTAGGAAACAAATCCGATTTGATCTCAGATTTGACCGGAGGACTTTCCTAATCATAAGGAGTCTTTTTAGGAGTTTTAATGTTTTAGGAATTCTTTACCATTTTTGGTAAGTTGAGAGTCCTTGTAGGAATTAGAGTCCTTGTAGGAGTCTTGTTTCTTTTTCTATTTAAGAAGAATCTTGTAAGCCCTAGAGGCATAACTTTTGATTAATAAAATTTCATTTTTTCCTCAATATTTTTTCGTGGATTCGAAGCTCTTCGTGGATTCGAAGCTCTTCGTGGATTCGAAGATCATTCTTTGTGGATTCAGAGAACACCCTTGGTGGATTCTGATGTTACAACTTCCGCGTTGCGTCAATTGGTATCAAATACTTGTTCCTCCAATCCGATGGCAGGTGATGAAGCCCCTATTTCTCGAACTGAGTTCGACGTGCTAAAGGCCGATGTCAATCAGATGAAGACTATCATGGAGCGACTAGCTACGGTAGTAGAGCGTCTGGACACAACAGGAGATCGAAATCACGTTGATGGTCGCCAACAACGTGAGACGACTCCGTATGAAGATTCCGACAGCGAGGAGGATCATTATGCACCCCCACGCCGCGGTGGTTATCGCAGAGACCGACGACGAAGGGATAATTATGACGTTGGAGGTTTCAAGATGAAGATGGATCTCCCATCTTTCAACGGGCAACTGCATATTGAAGAGTTCCTCGACTGGATTGCAGAAGTAGAGAGGTTCTTCGAGTATATGGAGATCCCAGAAGAATGCAAGGTAAAATTCGTGGCCTACCGACTCAAAGGTGGAACTTCAGCTTGGTGGGAATCTGTTTGTCTGAATCGATCTCGTCAAGGGAAGCCGAAGGTCGAAAGGTGGGAGAAGATGAAGAAGCTACTAAGAGCCTATTTTCTGCCAAGTGATTATGAACAAGTATTATTCGGGAAGTACCAAAATTGTAAGCAAGGTGGAAGAACCATGGATAAGTACACGCAGGAATTTTATCGGCTGTCATCCCGTAATAACTTGAACGAGAGCGAGACCCAACAGATGTCTCGATATACATGGGGATTAAGGATGGCAATTCAGGATCGTGTATCTTTACAACAGACCTATACCTTAGCAGATACAGTTAGCCTAGCCGAGAAGGTGGAGTGACAACTCGGACAAAATAGTAAAGGATCATGGGCAGCTTCCGACGGGTCGCACACGGGTTTCAAACGTGGTGGAAGTAAACAGTCTCAAACTGTTTCTGGGCAGGATGCAACAACGGAGAAGGGCAAGGGTCCAGCGACAACAACAGCAAAGAAGCTTACCCCAGCGAACCCTTATGCCAAGGCTGACCCAATCAAGTGTTACAGATATGGACAGCCTGGTCATTGATCCAATTAGTGCCCTAAAAGAGGTACTGTGAACATGGTGGATCATGAAGATGAGGATGCAGGCCGAGACGATGATGAAGACTATAATGATGGGTTGGACGCTGATGATGATGGGGAACAACTCTCATGTGTTGTGCGGCGACTATTGTTGGCTCCAAAAGCAGAAGAACCACCACAGAGGCATAATATCTTTCGAACGAGATGCACATTGCAACAGAAGATCTGTGATGTCATCATTGATAGTGGGAGCAGCGAGAATATTGTCACTCGGCGCATGGTGGAGAAGTTAGGACTGAAGACGGAGAAGCATCCCGCTCCTTACAAGATTGGCTGGATTCGCAAGGGTAATGACGTACAGGTTGATGAAGTGTGTCGGGTATCCTTTTCCATTGACCGAACTTATGTGGATGAGGCATTGTGTGATGTAGTAGAGATGAATGCATATCATATGTTGTTAGGCAGGCCTTGGCAGTTTGATGTTGATGCCACGCATAGGGGAAAAGATAACGTTTACATCTTCAAGAAGGATGGTCACCGAATTGTGCTCAAGCCTCTAACCGAGAAGGGGCCTGTCAAAACCAATGTGGCTGAAAAGAAGAATTTCTTGGTCGTTGACAATGAAGACTTTATGAAAGATGTGAAGCAGTCTGATGAGATTTATGCCCTTATAGTTTCGGGAAAAGAGGAGTCTGCCACTGTCGAAATTTCACCTAAAGTACAGACCCTCTTACAGCAGTTTGATGTAGTTATGCCTGATGATCTTCCTTCTGAATTACCCATGCTTAGGGACGTTCAATATCAGATCAACCTTATCCCTGGATCTCGACTACCAAATCTGCCACACTATAGGATGAGTCCGAAGGAAGGAGAGATTTTGCAGAAGCAGGTGGATGATCTCATCCAGAAGGGCCTTATACGACCTAGCATGAGTCCGTGTGCAGTGCTAGCACTACTAGTCCCAAAGAAGAACGGAGAGTGGCGTATGTGTGTGGACAATAGGGCTATCAACAAGATTACAATGAAGTATAGATTTCCTATTCCACGCTTGGAAGATATGCTAGACATGTTATCTGGTTCAAAAGTGTTCTCCAAGATAGATCTCAAAAGCGGCTATCATCAGATTCAGATTAAGGAAGGAGATGAGTGGAAGACTACTTTCAAGACAAAAGAAGGCCTGTACGAGTGGTTAGTCATGCCTTTTGGTCTTTCTAATTCCCCTAGCACTTTCATGCGATTGATGAATCAGGTATTAAAACCCTTTATCGGCAAGTTCGTCATAGTTTACTTTGATGATATCCTGATTTATATCTAGAGTGGGGCTGCACATCTGGACCACTTGAGGGAGGTACTAACAGTTTTGTAGGAGAATAAGTTGTACATCAATCTGAAGAAGTGCGACTTCATGACTAGTAGCCTCGTGTTTCTAGGCTTTGTGGTTAGTGCAGAGGGTATTCATGTTGATGAAGAGAAGGTTCGTGCTATTAGAGATTGGCCTACCTCGAAGACTGTCAGTGAAGTTCTTAGTTTTCATGGCCTAGCCACATTCTATAGGAGATTTGTAAGAAATTTCGGCAGCATTGTAGCACCTATAACTGAATGCATGAAAAAAGAAAAGTTCAATTGGGGGGAAGATGCGGATCGTAGCTTTGCACTGATCAAGGGGAAGTTGTCCACTGCACTTGTGCTTGCACTTCCAGATTTTCAAAAAGTCTTTGAAGTTAATTGTGATGCGTCCATCATAGGAATTGGTGGTGTTTTATCTCAGGAAGGGTGTCTAGTTGCCTTTTACAGTGAGAAACTCAGCGAAGCTCGGCAGAAGTGAACCACATATGAACTGGAGTTATATGTCATAGTTCAGTCTTTGAAGCATTGGGAGCACTATTTGATCTCGAGAGAGTTTCTGCTTCATACTGATCATCGGGCCTTGAAGATCCTTAATAGTCAGACTACCATCAACCGTATGCATGCTCGTTGGATTGCATATCTGCAGCGTTTCACCTTTGTTTTGAAGCATAAATCTGGGCAGCAGAATAAGGTTGCAGATGCACTCAGTAGGAGAGCTGGATTGTTGGTAACTTTGAAGGCTGAAGTGATTGTGTTTGAGTACCTTAAGGAGCTGTATGCAGAGGATGAAGATTTTAAGAAGATTTGGGATGACTGTCTTCAAAATAAATCAGCCAAAGGCTTTCATATTCAGGATGGTTATCTATTTCATGGTGATCAATTGTGCATACCCCAGAGTTCACTAAGAGAGCAGATAATTCGAGACCTTCATACTGGCGGACTAGGAGGACATTTGGGACGTGATAAAATAATTGCAGCCATTGAAGAACGATATTACTCGCTTCAGTTGAAGAAGGGAGCAGAAAAATATGTGTGACGTTGTCCAGTTTGTCAAGTTGCTAAGGGACAGTCTAAGAATACGGGATTGTATACACCTTTACCTGTTCCTGATGCACCATGGCATGTTATCTCTATGGACTTTGTGTTAGGACTGCCTCGAACCCAACGAGGCGTGGATTCTTTTTTTGTTGTGGTTGATAGGTTTTCTAAGATAGCGCATTTTATTCCGTGCAAGAAGACTGCAGATGCGAGCAACATTGCTAATCTTTTCTTTCGGAAGGTAGTTCGCCTTCATGGAGTGCCGAAGTCCATTACATCCGATCGAGATTCTAAGTTCTTATCTTACTTTTGGAGAACTTTGTGGCAGCGATTCAATACTTCTCTTAAGTTTAGTACTGCCTATCACCCTCAAACAGAGGGCCAAACTGAAGTGGTCAATCGCACACTCGGTAATATTCTTAGATCCATCTCTGGAGATTGACCGAAATAGGGGGATCTTGCTTTGGCACATGCTGAGTTTGCTTATAACTGTATGGAGAGTCGAACTACAGGCAAGGCACCCTTTGTGATTATGTATGGAAGGCTTCCGAATCATTATCTCGACCTTGCTCCATTGCCTAAGCTTCCCGGACAGAGTGTTCCTACAGATCATATAGTTGAAAAGATACGTGCTATCCAGCAGGAGGTGAAGGAAAAGATAGAGCAGTCTAATGCTAAATATAAAGCCGATGCTGATCAACACAGGAGGAAGAAGGTGTTTGAAGAAGGAGACATGGTGATGGTGTTTCTGCGAAAAGAACGTTTTCCCGTGGTCACCTACAACAAGCTGAAGAATAAGAAGTATGATCCATACAAAATACTGAAGAAGATTAGCGATAACGCTTACGTGGTTGACCTTCCTACAGATTTGGGTATTTCTCCTAGTTTTAATGTTGCAGATTTGTTTGAGTATTACCCACCAGAAGAAACAACTATTCATGCAAGTGTAAGATCGAGGTCAAGCTCAAGCAGGGGGGACTGATGTAGAACACTTAGCAGACACGTTTATGTCAAAGTGGGACAGTCGTAAGCCCAAATACGGGCCTGGTCGAAGAAAATAACTTGTTTCGAAGAAACGGCCGTAACTTTCAAACCGTACGTCGGAATTGGACGAATTATATATAAAAATCGACTATCTCGACGAGACGGAGCCATCCAAACCGACCCATTTAGGTTCGGTTTGCGTTCTTAGTTTTGCCAAATTCCTTACGGTTTGAGAGATATTTGCAGTTTTGACCGTTTTTTACTATTTTTAGTAATATTTTAGGAGTCTGTTTTGTTTAGGAAACAAATCCGATTTGATCTCAGATTTGACCGGAGGACTTTCCTAATCATAAGGAGTCTTTTTAGGAGTTTTAATGTTTTAGGAATTCTTTACCATTTTTGGTAAGTTGAGAGTCTTTGTAGGAATTAGAGTCATTGTAGGAGTCTTGTTTTTTTTCTATTTAAGAAGAATCTTGTAAGCCCTAGAGGCATAACTTTTGATTAATAAAATTTTGTTTTTTCCTTAATATTTCTTCGTGGATTCGAAGCTCTTCGTGGATTCGAAGATCTTCTTTGTGGATTCAGAGAACACCCTTGGTGGATTCCGAGGTTACAACTTCCGCACTGCGTCATATCGTGCATAAAATATATCTAACTATAGTAAATAATAGTTATACTACACTTTAAAGCCTTTAATTAATGTAATTTAATAAGATTGAGGGTTATAAGAAGAATTTGAAAGGGTATAGTTTATGTATGCATGTAGATGCATGTATGTGTTTGGTTTGAAGGGGTATGGTCTATGTATGCATGTATATGTTTGATGGATGTATATATGTGTTTTCGAGGATATTTTCAGAAGAAAATATTTTAACATCTTACACACTTTTATAATTGTATATATAAGATAAACCTTATTCACTCTAAGTTAAATGTAACAACTCACCAAGTGTAATGCAATATACTTTCAACATGATAAGGAAACACATAATTAATGAGGGAACTCATATTCAATCAAATCAACATGAAAATCTATCCACTATGGTGTCACTTTTTTTAATAACCCAACCCAAAAATTAAATTAAAGACCGTGATAATCATATTAGAACCTCTCAACCATTCAAATCACCCGTAGTGACCGTGGTATCACTTTTAAATGGCACAAATATGTGAGAATACATTTAATAATCAATTGAGATATTTCCTCCAATTTAGATAATTTATATACTTTATTTGTTCTTTTTTTTGGATTAATTATAGTCCGGTATCTTGTCGTATGGTGTTATACCGGCACCATAAAGTATGGTGTTATTGCACGGATACATTTAATAATCAATTGAAACACTACTCTTTTGGGTTCATAAACCTCATGTCTTCTTAAAAAACTTTATTTCAATTACCTGGATTCATTTCCTAGTTAAAAATTTTCATCACAAACTAACACAAAAATTCCTTTAAAATGTAGCATTTCGTTCCTGCTCTTTGCACACCCATATCATGGAATCAAATTTCTTCTTTAACAACAAAAACTGATCATAAAAAAAAGTATGGGCATGGGCACACAATATATAGGCTCAACAAATTAATCCACACTGAAGTATACCACAATGTGTAACTTCGGCATGGGCACACAATATATAGGCTCAACAAATTAATCCACACTGAAGTATACCACAATGTGTAACTTCGTAATTACAGCATGTGACTATTTTCGGACAGCACCTTCTCCTCAATAGTGGCAGACTTAATAATGCAACCATCAAATTTTTGTAAGATAATGCAACCATGGCCATGTGTATAGTAACTTGGTTTTTGCTTATAAAATGATTTTCAACTAGATTCAATTGAGAGATCTACATCATAAAACTTGAGATCTAAAACCATATAGCCATGATTAATTCAAAGAGATTAACAAAATCAAAAGAGAGCGGAAGCTTATACCTGAATCCATTGCTTGGTCTTGATTTTGGGTTTTGGATCTTCTAACCTTAGGGTTCTCTCTAAAACCGAATTTCTCTAGCTAGATGGGGGTGTAGAGAATTAGAGAATGTAACCCTAGGTTAGGGACCATAACCCCTTATTTATAGATGTTGTACTTTTGTAATTTAGCCCCTCAATAAATTACAATTACAACCTGGTATCTGCACATATAACCCCATGACTTATTTAAATACCAAATTAACCCAACTTAATTGATCACTTTAGTGGGTTATCCTGAAAGATAGCAATACACATTGTTTAATCATATGTGCCCACAAATAGATTTATTAGATTAAATCCAACAATCTCCCACTTGGGCACCATATGATTCCTTAAATTGTGTATAACCTTATGAGCTCAAAAATTGCTATCACTGAAAAGGTATTTTCGAACAATCTCGTCCATTGACTATATCAATATAGGATCAAAGCGGCCTTCGTCACATTTATCGTGACTCGACCCATCAATGGTCACATATACCAATACAATCAAATGACATAGATCAATCATGGATGTGCAGCATGAAAATTACATGCAATGTGATCAGTACATATCTATTTTCAACTGGTCCTCCTTAGTGAGGTCAAAACCAAACATAATGTAACAGAGTGTCTTAACTGAAAACTTTATTCTGATCAGACAATACAAACAAACATAAAGCACCACAAATACAAACTCCCACTAAAACATAATATCCTCAAATAATACCACACCCATATGAGCAGTATGCTCATGAAAGACCTTAGGTGGCAATCCCTTAGTAAGAGGATCAGCTAACATGGAGTTTGTCCCAATGTGCTCTATGGATATCTGTCCACTCTGTACCCTTTCTTTCACAACCAGGAACTTAATGTCAATATGTTTTGACTTAGTTGAGCTCCTGTTGTTATTGGAATACATTACTGCAGATTTATTGTCACAATATAGCCTTAGTGGTCTTTCAACATTTTCCAAAATGCGCAGTCCCGTGACAAAATTTCGCAGCCATATTCCCTGATTGGATGCCTCATAGCAAGCTACAAATTCTGCTGCCATAGTGGAGGAAGCTACTAGTGTTTGTTTGACACTTTTCCATGATATAGCTCCTCCTGCTAACATATAAATGTAGCCTGATGTAGACTTCCTGCTATCTTGGCATCCAGCAAAATCAGAGTCCGAATACCCAATGACCTCTAATTTCTCTGATTTTCTGTATGTGAGCATGTAATCTTTTGTTTTCTGAAGATACCTCATAACCCTTTTGACTGCTATCCAATGATCCATACCAGGGTTGCTTAAGTATCTGCCTAACATCCCAACAATGTACGCAATATCCGGACGCGTACATACCTGAGCATACATTAGACTTCCTACAGCCGAAGCATAAGGAATCTTCTGCATTTCCTGAATTTCAAGGTTACCTTTAGGGCACTGATTGAGACTAAACTTGTCTCCTTTAGCAACAGGGGTGTCACCTGGTCTGCAATCTTGCATGCCAAACCTTTTAAGTACCTTATCGATATAGCTCTTTTGTGATAATCCAAGAATACCCCGAGAGCGATCTCGATGTATCTGGATCCCTAATATAAAAGAGGCGTCCCCAAGATCTTTCATCTCAAAATTCTTTGATAGAAATCTCTTGGTTTCGTGCAACATGCCTATATCATTAGTGGCAAGCAAGATGTCATCCACATACAGAACCAGAAAAATATACTTACTCCCACTGAACTTGTGATATACACAGTCATCAACAATGTTCATCTCAAAACCGAACGAGATAACTATTTGTTGAAACTTATGATACCATTGACGAGGAGCTTGCTTGAGTCCATAGATGGATTTCCTTAATTTGCAAACCATATTCTTTGGGTCTCCTGACACAAAGTTTTCTGGTTGCACCATATAAATCATCTCATCAATGTCTCCATTGAGAAATGCAGTCTTAACATCCATCTGATGTAACTCAAGATCATAATGAGCAACAAGTGCCATGATTATTCTGAAAGAGTCTTTCGATGAAACCGGAGAGAAAGTCTCTGTATAATCAATGCCTTC